CAGGGGGGATGGTCACGCTGCAATCCCTTCTCCTCCATTCTCCTCTCGGGATCTTGGCACGCACGCACACGCGCATGCTGGTCCCGTGGCATGTTAATTAAGGCAGCTGGATCGCACATGGCCAACTGCATGGTTCAAGTCCCGGATCAGTGACTCGAGAAACACTGGGTGCTCATGATTGTGTATGTGTGACCAAAATCCAAAAAGGTCAGAGACATGGAAAGAGATTGCGGTGTGGCCGTTCCCCATAAAGGGTGCATTCTCTTGAGCACACGTGCTGTCTGGGGAATTAAAAGAAAATAAGGTACGATTAGAGACTAAGAATGGTTCCATAGAAGGTAAAGTTTGTAAAGATAATGTTGGGAGAGAATCCGGGGATCTCCAGGATCCGGGTGCCTGTTCCAGGGCGGTCGCAGCAGACATTCCAAGGTCCAGAAAAGGGGCGGGGCACAAGGTCTGAGGCCTACGCCGGGGGCGGGGCTACTGTTGAGGGGCGGGGTTTGCTTGGGAAGAAGACCCGGATAATGGAGCTCTGGGCGCAGATCCGTGACTGTTCACGCCCGTCCTGCGTGAGAGTGACGACCACCTGGTGGGTATGAAAAGCAGGCTGCGCTATAAGAGTCCGGAACCTACGAGCCTGGCCTGTGGAGCCAATGGGAGGTGGCGGGAGGTGGGCTTGCGAACGCCTTGGCCAACGGAAGACGCCGAGGGGCGTAGCTTCTTGTTAAAAAAAGGGGTGGGAAGAGGCCTGAACTACGAGCCAATGAGAGGCGAGGAGAGGCGGGACTAGCGCGTGCGGCGGCCAATGACGACGTGGCTCTTACAAGTGAGGTGATTGCGGTTCTGCGCAGGCGCCTCAGGCGGGGCTTCGGGGCGCCGCAGAGAACCAGTGGGCGAAAAGGGTATAGCCACGCGCCTAGGTCACGTGACACGGAGGGCGCCGAATTGCAGCACTATTTCTCGTAGGTGAAGGTGGAAAGACCCTGGAGGAGGAGGGTCCAGCCGGCGTTGGAGAAGCATCCTGAAGCGATCTGACCTCAACCCTCGCCTTGAGGTCGGGGATGAGGCTCGGGCTTGAGGCTCGGGCTCAAGCGCTCTTTAAGGCCGTGGCTTGAGCAGCGGGTCGAGCACACTAACCTGGGGGGGGCGTGGCCTCGTGTACCTCTGGTGACGTAACATGGGGCGGATACCCCACCGGGGCTAAGAGTCGGGGTCCAGTTGTAAAGGAGGCGGGGCTCCCGCCGATCCATTGACAAATAGGTAAGTGAGAAAGTTACTGTCTTGGTGCCCTAGTAGCTGCGTTAACTCGAGGTATAAAGGGTCGGGCTGACGTCACGAGGGGGCGTGACCTGCACCTGAAGGGCGTGGCCTAGCCTGGAATATAAGGGTATGGGGGCGTGGCTTTGCAGAAACTTAGGGCAAGAGGCTTGTCCTAGGATCCGGGCTGGGGTAGGAGGTGTGCTTTTTTTTTTACCTGTCGCGCCCGAGTGCTGGGACTGCCCTTTCTCCCCTAGGTGCCACCTCATGGAGACCACAGCGGCCGCTGCCCCTATCGGGAGCTTCTTCCCCTCTTTCTTGCTCCTGGCCTTTGGGACACTCGTGGCCGCCCTGCTGGGCGCAGCGCACCGGCTGGGGCTCTTCTATCAGCTGATGCACAAGGTGCGCAGGCGGGTGGGAGAAGGGCAGAGAAGGTGGGGTCTCCCGGCGCTTCTTGCAGCTGATTCATTTTACAGGCGGGTAAAGGAAGGACCAACTAGTCCAGAGGGAATGGCCAGGAGAGTCTGTTCCGGGCCCTGTCCCCACTGCCAACTGCATACTGGGACTCTGGACTTTGTCCCTAGTCAGGGAGCCTCAGGAAGGTCTGCTGCTCTGGCACTCACACCCCGCCTACCTGCTTCCCCAGAGGAACTGAGCCTTTTTGATAGAACAGATAGATGGACCCTCTGATAATTATGCTTTTAAAACTTGGGGAGATCAGAGGGCAGGCACAGGGGCGGGGAGCTGTGCCTGATTGCCCTCTGCTGAGAGTAAATGCGCTAGAGGGATTTATTCCTGTTACCCCCTACCACCTGTCATCGCTGTCCTCATTTTCTACAAGAGGAAACTAAAGCTCAGAGTGTGTGGTAATTTGCCATAAACGACTTATTTTGAGAGGTTTGACCCCAGGAGCCTGTTCTAAGCTGCTTGTTCCTTTTATAGAAATTTACTCCTCAGTGGGACCGGCATTTGGTGTAATGGCTATGTCGCTGGACTCCCACATAGTCGACCACGGTTCGAGTCCTGGACTTGGTGGCTTAAACTCACACTGGGTGCATGTGCGTGTGTGCCCAAGATCCCTAGAGGAGAATGGAGGAGAAGGGATTGCGGCATGGCCATCTCCCCTGGGGGGGGGTTATTTCTCACTTTGTGTCTCTCTGTATTTCTGGCAAGCGCATGTGCCTTATAGAAGAAAAAAAAAAAACTCTCCAAAAAAAGAGAAACTTACTCCTCAAGGGGCCAGCAGGTGGTATGGAGGTTAAGGAGGCTGGATCCAACGTGGCTATCTGTGTGGTTGGAGTCCTGGACTGGGTGGCTTGAAAAATACACTGAGCATGTATGCATGCACGCCCACAATCCCGGGAGGAGAACGGAGAAGGCATGAGACTTGGCCATCACCCTGGGGAACAGGGTGGTTTTTCTTTTCTTTCTTTCTTTCTTTCTTTTTTTTTTTTTTAAGAATCATTTATTTAATGTTACTTATTATTTTTTTAGAGGGTTTTTTTTTTTCATTTTGGCTATAGGGTGCGTGCGCTCACCAAACAGACAGAGAGCAACAGAGAGACAGAAAGCGAGAAATCACCCCCAGGAGGGATGGCCATGCCGCAATCCCTTCCCCTCCATTCTCCTCTCGGGATCTTGGGCACGCACGCACACGCGCCTGGCGTGAGTTTTAAGCCACCGGGTTCGGGATGCGAACCGTGGTCGACTATGTGGGAGTCCAGCGACATAGCCATTATGCTAACTGCTGGTCCTGATGTTACTTATTATTAATATAGGGCATGTGCGCTCACTAGAAAGAGAAAGGAAGTAAGAAAGCAAGCTGCCGCGCTGAGACCTGAACCGTGGTTGGCCATGTGAGAGTCCAGTGCCTTAAACACCATGCCACCTGCTGGCCCCTGAGGGGTGATTTTTCATTTTCTGTCACTTTCTCCTGCGAGCATCTGGGCCCTATAGCAAAACTTAAAAAAACAAAATAATAATTTACTCCTGCAAACCCCTTCCTCCATCCTTTCTCTCCTTGTCAGGAGCAATGCCACTGTTCTCAGGACTGGTGGAGATTTAAGGCCAAAGAGCTGTGAGGAAACAGTCCATGCAGTAGGCCACTCCTATGCCAGGCGGGTGTTGGCTGGCAGCCTATGGGCCAGGCCTGGGCTTGATTAGCAGCGAGTGGGCGGGAGATAGATCGACTGGCGCCAGCAGTCCGGTGGCCAGGCCATGCAGGGATATGGGACAGTAGACAGGATTTACAGCCAAGGGCCCCTTGCCTGGTGCCCCTGGCCAAACTCCTGGGCTATGATTTCCCTTTACTTTTTTTAAAAAAGATTTATTTATTTATTTACTCATTCATTCATTCATTTTAATTTGACCAGAGAGAGACACAGAGAGAGAGAGAGGAACGTGAGAAAGCAAGCCACCAGGTCCAGGACTCGAACCGTGCGTGGTCAGCCGTGTGGGAGTGTCTAGCGCCTTAACCACCACGCCACCTGCTGGTCCCCATGATTTCCCTTTTCTTTCCTGTCTTCCTGACTACTCTACTGCCCTGGAGGCAGGCGCTTATAACAAAGTAGACCCTTAAGACTGTGAGGCATTTAAGAGCGTGGGTTCTGTTAGACTTCACATCTTGCTCAGGTAGTCGTAAATGTCCCTAGCTGTAAGAGGGTTTGAATGACAAAAGGATTTGATTGGATGACAGGCCCTGCTCTGGGCCTGGTGTGTCATATGTGTGCCTGACCGATACTAGAATTTCTTTCATCTCTGACCCTGCTTCTGCCCTCTCGTCCCAACTGCCTTGGCCCTTGACATTGTTTTCCTCCCAAAAAGAGTTCCTGGGACCAGTAGATGGCTTAATGGTTATGTCACTGAACTCCCACGTAGTCGACTGCCATTCAAGTCCTGGACTTGGCAGCTTCAAACTCAAGCCAGGCACGTGTGCATGTGTGCCCAAGATCCTGAGAAGAGAATGGAAAAGGGATTGCAATGTGGCCACCCCCCGCCCCACCAAGATGAGTTCTCACTTTCTCTCTCTGTCTCTCTGGAGAATGCATGCACTCTATGGCAAAAAGAAAAAAAAAATCTCTCTTTAAAAAAGTTTTATTTAGGGACCAGCAGTTAGCGTAATGGCTATGTTGCTGGACTCCCACGTAGTTGACCGTGGTTCGAGTCCCGGACTCGATGGCTTGAACTCTTGCCGGGCTCATGTGTGTGCATGCCCAAGATCCCGAGAGGAGCATGGAGGAGAAGGGATTGCGGTGTGGCCATCCCCCCTGGGGAGTGATTTCTCGCTTTCTGTCTCTCTGTCTCTCTCTGTCTGGTGAGCACACGCACCCTATAGCAAAAACCTCTCCAAAAAAAGAAAAAGAAAAAACAAAACAAAAAAGTTTAATTTAATTTTATTTATTACTATTATAATTATTATCATTTAAAAATTTGCTATAGGGCACATGTACTCACCAGAGACAGAGAGGGAAAGTGAGAAAGCAAGCTGCTAGATCTGGGACTTGAACCGCATTTGGCCATGTGGGAGTCCAGTGCCTCAACCACTGTGGAAATCTTTTTATTTTTTTTATTTTTTTTGCCAGAGAATTTATGGGCTTGCCAGAGAGAGAGAGAGAGAGAGGGAGGGGGAAGAAAGCACCCCTTTCCGATGGGACATGGTCACTCTAATTCCTTTCCTCCATTTCTCTATCCTGTTGGGATTTAGGACATACACACACACACACACAAACACACATGTGTGCACACGCACACCTGACACGACTTCCATGATGCTGGAGCCAGATTTGAACTGCCTAGTTGTTTTTGTGGGATCTGGCTTCTTTAACCACTAGGCCACTGGGCTGGCCCAGTCTGTCTGTCTGTATTTTTATTTGAATTATATTTCTTCCATGAACAAGAAAGACAAGACAGGCAAACAGACTTGCCCAACTGACTCTCACTGTTGTCAGCTGCCCCCACTTAATTCATTTATTTTAAAATATTTTTGCCGTGGGACACATCTGTTCTCCAGAGACAGACAGAGAGGGAAAGTGAGAAATCACCCCCCCTCCCCAGTGGGATGACCTCACCCAACCCCTTCTCCTCCTGGGATTTTGAGCATGCACACAGATTTTCCAGCCTCTTGGTCAGCGGTGTGGGAGTCCAGGGCCTTACCCACCACACCACCTGCTGGCCCTCTGCCCCCACTTTCAGTCAGTCCCAGATCATGGGTAAGCATACTTAGTGAGGTCTCCAGCCCCAAACCAGGAACCTTCCCAGGTGGGTCAGCCCCACAGTGTCCTGTTTTACTGCTGTGCCATCATCTGTCACCTGAAAGTCTCGTTTCTTGGCTTTCAGGTGGACAAGGCTAGCGTCCGGCATGGCGGGGAGAACGTGGCGGCGGTGCTGAGGGCCCATGGTGTACGGTTCATCTTCACGCTGGTCGGTGGGCACATTTCTCCGCTGCTGGTGGCCTGCGAGAAGCTGGGCATCCGCGTGGTAGACACGCGCCACGAGGTCACGGCTGTCTTTGCTGCCGATGCTGTGGCCCGGCTCACTGGTGAGGGCAACATGGAGAGGGCTGGGACCAGAGATGGCGTTTTAGGGTGGTTGTAAGGGGATAGGTGCTTCTCTGGTCTGAGAATGGCAGGGAGAGTGGGCGTGACCGAGGCCAGAAGAGTGGGCGTGGCCACGGTGGGGAGTGGGCGTGACTGACATGCTGCGTGGCCAACGGACTGGTCTTGACTGGGAGAGTGGGCGTGGCCGTGATGGGCTCAATCTTTCAGGGGTGGTGGGCGTGGCTGTGACCAGGAGAGTAGGCGTGTCCGTAGATGTGATGGGCTGCCTTTCAGGGGTGGGGGCGTGACCGTGACGGACTCTGTCTTTCAGGGACGGTGGGCGTGGCAGCAGTGACAGCAGGCCCTGGCCTCACCAACACAGTGACAGCGGTGAAGAATGCACAAATAGCCCAGTCTCCAGTTCTGCTTCTGGGAGGGGCCGCTAGCACTCTGCTACAGGTGCCTGGTACTTCAGGGAGGTCTCCAGGGGGCCCCAGGAAAGTTCCGGGCTCATAGGCTAATTCCACCCCATCTGTCTCTGCCAGAACCGGGGTGCGCTCCAGGCCATCGATCAGATGTCCCTGTTCCGGCCGCTCTGCAAATTCTGTGCCTCTGTGCGGAGGGTGCGGGACATTGTGCCCACGCTGAGGACTGCCATGGCTGCTGCTCAGTCCGGTACCCCAGGTAGGTGCGGGTGCGGGTTGGGGTGTGGTGGGTCTTGGGGTCCGAGGGCTGGAGGAGGTGCTTAGGCTGGGCGTCCTCCCTGCCCCCGCAGGTCCGGTGTTTGTGGAGCTGCCCGTCGATGTGTTGTACCCTTACTTCATAGTCCGTAAGGAGATGGTGCCAGCGAAGCCGCCCAAGGGCCTCATGGGCCAAGCCGTTGCCTGGTAAATAGTCCTCTGCCTCACCCTCCTCCATCTTCCAACCTCTCCCTGCTCCCGTTTTACTTTTTCATGTTATTTTTTTAAAAAAATATTTATTTAAGGGGGCCAGGAGATGGCATAGTGGTTAAGTCGCCGGACTCCCACATGGCCAACTGTGGTTTGAATCCCAGACCTGGTAGTGGCTTGAAAATTACATGGGTGCCTGTGTGTGCATATCCAAGATCTCAAGAGGAAAATGAAGAAGGGACTGTAGTGTGGCCTTACCCCCGGGGGGGTGATTTCTCACTTTCCCTCTCTCTGTCTCTGTCTCTCTGGTGAGCACAGGTGCCCTATGGCAAAAAACAAAGACAAAAAGAAAAAAAAAACCCCCACACCTCCCCCCTCCAATTTTATTTATTTAATTTTATTTATCATTATTTTTTAATCTGACCAGAGAGAGTCAAGGGTGATGGACGGGGTGAGAAAGCAAGCTGCCTGCTCTGGGACTCAAACCGTGGTCGACCATGGGGGAGTCCAGCACCTTAACCACTGTGCCACTTGCTGACTCCCCGTTTTCCTTTGACTCACTGACTTGCACATGGACTGAGTAGAGCCAAGTTCGTCCAGGTTGCAGAAACAGCACATGCACAGAAGGGGGTAGGCAGCGGGGTGGAGCTGAGCTCAGAGTTGGGTGATTTTGTTTGTTTACTGTAAGGTGCATGTACTCACTGAAAGAGATACGGAGAAACGGAGAAAGAGAGACAAGGAAAGTAAGAAAGCATGCCCTTGGGGGGGTGGCTTCACTGTCCTCTGGGAATTTTGGGCTCACACACGCAAGTGCCTGGCATGCTTTTCAAACTGCTGGGTCTGGGACTCGAACCATACAGTAGCCATGTGGGATCCAGCTGCTTCAACCACTGTGCCACTGGCTAGATCCAGCTGCTTCATCCACTGTGCCACTGGCTGGCTCAGGGACCTGGGGTTTTGCTTTTGGCAGGAGACCCATCAAGAAGCACTGCAAGGCCTTAAGCAGAGGTGTGGGCTCTCCTGACCTGCTTTTTGCTATGTTTCCCCTGGGCTGCTGTTGGGGAAGGGTGGGACTGTGGAAGGACAGGGTCACAGTGGAGGCTTGGAAACCAGGGAGGAGGCTGGGAGGCCATGGATAGTGCAGAGAGGTAGATGGATCAGGCGCGAGTGCCCGGTGCTCTGTTAGGCCAGGATAAGGGGGCAATGGAGCCTTCCCTCCAAGCCTTTGACTTGGGCACAGTTCAGTCTGGGGACACTGGCTTCAAGCAGCAGGTGGCTAGGAACTTGGGGAGATGGGCAGAAAACAGGCCTGGGATAAGCTTGAAGTTCTTCCTGGGAGAACTGAAAGGTTGGGAGCTTTTTTATTTGAGAAAAGAGTTGGGGGCTCCAGTAGGGGAGCCCACTGAGCTGGGGTATAGAAGAGGTTCATTTTGTGTCACTATTGAGATGAGCCTGGCTGAAATGGGGCACAGGAGTGAGATTCAGTTCTTTTTTTTTTTTTCTTTGGAGAAGTTTTTGCAATAGGGCATGTGTGCTCTCCAGAAAGAGAAAGAGACAGAGAGATAGAAAGCGAGAAATCACCCCCCAGGGGGATGGCCACGCCGCAATCCCTTCTCCTCCATTCTCCTCTTGGGATCTTGGGCACGCATGCACATGTGCCCGGTGTGAGTCTAAGCCACTGGGCCTGGGACTCGAACCGCGGTTGACTACACGGGAGGCCAGGAATATAGCCATGACGCCAACTCTGGTCTCGAGATTCAGTTCTTTTACCTTCTCCTCCCCCTTCCTTTATTTCTGCCCTTCTCTCCTCCTCCCCCCGACCCCCGCCTTCCTCTCTTCCCCCTTCCCTTTTTTTAGAGAGGGAGTTTTGCTATAGAGCACATGCACTCACTAGAGAGACAGAGAGAGAGAAAGTGAGAAATCACCCATTAAGGGGGGATGGCCATGTGGCAGTCCCTTCTCCATTCTCCTCCTGAAATTTTGGGTGTGCACGCACACGGACCCAGCGTGAGTTTCAAGTCTCTGAGTCCAGGACTCCAACCAGCCCCTCCTCTTTCCTCACCTCCTCCCCTCCGTCTTCCCCTTTGTCCCCTCCCCTCCATGCCTGTTCCTCTCTCTCTCATCTTCTCCTTCCTTCTCCCTTTCCTTCCTCTTTTATTTTTTTTTTTCTTTTTTGAGAAGTTTTTGCTCTTTTTATTTTTCTTTTTTTGAGAAGTTTTTGCTATAGGGCACATGCGCTCGCCAGACAGAGAGAGACAGAGACAGAAAGTGAGAAATCACCCCCCAGGGGGGATGGCCATGCAGCAATCCCTTCTCTTCCATTCTCCTCTCGGGATCTTGGGCACGCACACACACGCACCCGGTGTGAGTTTTAAGCCACCGGGTCCAGGACACGAACCACGGTCAACTACATGGGAGTCCAGTGACATAGCCATTACACCAACTGCTGGTCCCTCTTTCCTTTCTCTTTCTCTCTCCTTTCCTCTTACCTCTTCTCCTCCCCCTTCTCCATGTCACGTACCAAGACAGGCAAGCGATGACATGGAGGACAGAACAGTCAGGCTCTCCACCCTGGATTTGTGGGCTGTCCCTTCAGGGTCTACTCGAGCAGCAGCTTTCACAAGGGGCTACCCCAGCCTCCTTGTGAAAGCTCTGCCCCGGCCTTCTGGTCACTCCTTTTCCTTATTCTCCTCGTTCTCCCTCCACTCCCTTCTTGGGCTGCTCCTCCAAAAGCTGGTTCTTCCTTTGCCTTTTCGTTATTCGTTGAGCTTCCCACAGTTCCATCCTTGGCCTCTTCTCCTCCCCCGCCAACTTGACCCTTCCTTTATAGTAAACAGGCTTCTGGCTCTCAGCTTCTGTGCTCTGGCTGCTTCCTGCCAACACCCACGCCTGCCAACATCTGTCTTTGGCCGGACGAGTGATCCTTGAGGGCAGGATTTATCCTTGTGTCTCTAAGGCCCACACAGGGCCTTCAGGGAAGACAGGGCCTCACAGTCCTGTGAGCGAGGAGATCAAGCATTTCACAAAGTGACGTATAACTTGAATGGAAAGATTGTGAACCCCAGGGAGGGAGGCTCTCCTTTTTCATTGTTTTGAAAACACTGTTTGGGAGAGGCATCTCAGAAAAGCGAAGCCACTTGCTCAAAGTCACACAGCTAGGAAGAGGCAGAACCAGGATTTGAACCTTGTCTGGGCGACCCACAGCCATGGCCCTCATCCTGGCAGATGGGAGAGGAGAGAGGAGGATATGGAGGAAGAGGAGGAGGGGGGAAGAAGAATCAAATCTTCCTGTGCTACGGAAGCCTCTGTATGTCATATACTCATTCTTGTAAGGTGTTCTGAAGTCTGCTTAGACACATAATAAGTGTATCAGTTAGCTATTGCAGTGTAACAGCCATCCCCAAACACAGTGGAGACTTGGCCATTGACAGTCCTGGGACATCGATTGTTCACCCCATCCCTTTCTCACTTTGTTTCTGGATTCACCATAATGAATTCTGGTTTGGTTCCTTTCTGTCCCTCTGCAGGTACTTAGAAAACCACTTGGCCAACCTCTTTGCAGGAGCCTGGGAACCGCAGCCTGAGGGTCCCCTACCCCTGGATATCCCCCAGGCATCCCCCCTGCAGGTGAATGGCTTCTCTTTCCCAGAAGGCTCTCTGACCATCTCTTCTCCCTGAGTCAGCGTGGGGGCTTGGGCTGGGAGGGGGTCAATGGTGACTACACCACAGCCCCAGGAGCCCCGCCTCTCGCCCAGGTTCAGCGCTGTGTGGAGATCTTGAGCCGTGCCCGGAGACCCCTGATTGTGCTGGGAAGCCAGGCCCTGCTACCCCCGACTCCCGCTGACAAGCTCCGGTGAGAAGCCTAGCCCTGGTCCATAATATCCTGGTGTCCTATGGGCTGGAGACCGGGGCATACCTATGGCCTCACTGACCTACACCTGGTCTGGACCTTCAGGACTGCCGTGGAGACACTGGGTGTTCCCTGCTTCCTGGGGGGCATGGCACGGGGGCTGCTGGGCCGCAACCACCCCCTCCACATCCGGCAGAACCGCAGTACCGCCCTGAAGAAAGCTGATGTTGTCATCCTGGCAGGTGGGCCTCAGCCCCCTCCCCTGCCCCCTCCAGGCACCCCCTGGTCACCCAGAGACCCTGCTTCTCCTGGTCAGGTACTCACTGGTCCCCTACCCTCAGAAACACCCACCTTCTTTTTAAGGATCACTAATTTTTTTATTTTACTTTTAAATTTGTTATAGGGCATGTGTGCTCACCAGAGAGAGAGAAAGAGGGAGAAAGTAAGCTGCCAGGTCTGGGGCTTGAACCGCAGTTGGCCATGTGGGAATCCAGCACCTCAGCTACCATGACACCTACTGGCCCCAAGCACCCACTCTTTGTTTGTTTGTTTGTTTGAGAGGTTTTTGCTATAGGGTGCGTGCGCTTGCCAGAAAGACGAACAGAGACAAGAGAGACAGAAAGCGAGAAATCACCCCCCCAGGGGGATGGCTACGCCACAATCTCTTGTCCTCCATTCTCTTTTCAGGATCTTGGGCACGCACGCACGCACACATGCCCGGCATGAGTTTAAGCCACCGGGTCTGGGACTCGAATCGCAGTCAGTTACATGGGAGTTCAGTGACATAGCCATTATGCTAACTGCTGGTCCCAGCACCCACCCTCTTATCTTTAGCTTCACCTTTTAGAGTTTTGTTTTTAGAGAGCTCTTTGCTGTAGGGTGCATGCACTCGCTGGAGAGACAGAGAGAGAGAGAGAGACAGAAAGCCAGAAATCATCCCTCTGAGGGGATGGTCATGCTGCAATCCCTTCTCCATTCTGCTCTCAGTATTTTGGGCACGCACGCACACTCGTCCAGCATGAGTTGAGGTCGCCAGGTCCAGGACTTGAACTGTGTCAACTACATGGGTGTCCAGCGATGTAAGCATCGTACCATCTGCTGGTCCTAGGACTTTTTCTTTCTTTCTTTTTTTAAAAAAAGTTTATTTCTTCTATGAGTGAGAGAGAGACAGACAGATAGGCAATGCCCCCAACAGTGTACTGACACCATGACCACCCCCTAGCCTCAGCTGAAATGATCTTGAGCATGCCTGGGCCTGACGTTCTCAGGGAGGTCTCTGGACATGCAGCTGAACCTTCCCGTGTCGATCAGTCTCCTAGTGTTGTATTTTAACCACTGTTGTACTGTCTAGTCCTTTTTTTTTTTTTTTAAGGATTATTTTATTTAACTTTATTTATTTACTTTAATTTGGCCAGAGAGAGACAGAACGAGAGAGAGAGAGAGAGAGAGAGAGAGAGAGAGAGAAAGTGAGAAAGCAAGCTATCAGATCAGGGACTTGAACCATGGTCGGTCATGTGGGAGTCTAGAACCCTTAACTAGTATGCCATCTGCTGGCCCCATTGTTGTTTATTTATTTAAATAGTTACTTCATTTGGGGTTGGGAGGTGGCGTGGTGGTTAGGGGCACTGGACTTCCACATGGCCGACTGCAGTTCGAGTCCCAGACCTGGCAGCTTGCACTCTCTCTCTCTCACTCTGTTCCTCTCTGGTCAAATATATATATATATATATAAATATATACACACACACACACATATATGTATATATGTATGAATATATACATATATTATGTGTATATATACATATATAATGTATTTGTATATTTATAAATAAAAAATTAAAATCTTAAAAAATTATTTAATTTTATTTATTATTATTTTAATTTGCTATAGAGCATGTATGCTCACCAGAGAGAGACAGAGAGAGGGAAAGCGAGAAAGCCAGCTATCAGGTCTAGGACTTGAACTGTTGTCCACTGTGTAGGAGCCTAGTGCCTTAACCACCATACCACCTGCTTGCCCTGGTCCTTTTAAAAAATTTTTATTTGTTAGTTGATAGAGACAGAGGGAGATAGAAAGAGAGGGGTACTCATGACAGGGCCTCACCACTCTGTGGTCCTTTCCCCAGCCTCCCAGACAACCAGGATGAGGTCCACAGGCACATGCAGCCTTCCCACATGGCTCTAGTTTCTTGCTGCCTATGCCACCCTGGCTGAGCCTCAGGGTTTTAAACAGCCTTGAATCTAAAATTCAGGTTACCCCTCGCCAGGCTGCAGTTGTGTGCTCTGACTTAGCTTTGCACAGAAGAAGATGAGCATCTAGCAGTCATTGGCTGTACTTCATACACTCATTCCCAAAAAGTGCTTTGAAGCTTGCCAAGACACATACTAGGTGTATCAGTTAGCTATGGCAGCGTAACAGCCATCCCCAAACACAATGGCTTAAGTGCATTTGTGATTCCTAAGACCCACCCACAGGTTGGGTGGTGGTTCTTCTGGATTCAGTTTAGCTTCTTCCCAAGACCCATTCCCAAGGTTGGGTGGGCAGGTGGGGAGCTGTACTGATCTGGCTGAGCTTGCTCCTCTGGACACTGGCTGGCTCTGAGGCTAGTCTAGGATGCCTTGGGGATGATGTGCTCTCCCACCCCACCCCTGCCCTCCTGTGTTTCTCGGGCAGGCTCTCCTGGCTGGTTCATTCAGTGGAGAAGGAGAAACCCGTGGGGCTGGGGGAGAACATTACATAAGAGAGCGAGAATGCAAGCTGTGAGGCTTTACTTTTTTTTTTTGGTGAGGTTTTTGCTATAGGGCATGTGCACCCACCAGAAAAACCGAGGCAGAGAGACATCACCCCCCACCTCCCCAGAGGGATGGTCACGCTGCAATCCCTTCTCTTCCATTCTCCTTTCAGGATCTTTGGCTCGCGCGCGCACACACACACACACACACACACACACACACACACCTGGCGTGAGTTTAAGCCACCGGGTCTGGGACTCGAACCACTGTCGACTACCTGGGAGTCCAGCGACATAGCCATTATGCCAACTGCTGGTTTCGCCACATTCTTGACAGAAGCAAGAAATCACCCCCTGGGGGATAGCCATGCTGCAATCCGTTCTCCTCCATTCTCCTCTTGGGATCTTGGGCACACATGCACATGCGACCAGCATGACTTTAAACCACTGGGTCCGGGACTCGAACCGCAGTCGACTACATGGGAGTCCAGTGACATAGCCATTACGTTAACTGCTGGTCCTGCCGCCACATTCTTTTTTAATTCGCCAGAAGACATGTGTGCTCCCCAGAGAGAGAGAGAGAGAGAGAGAGAGAGAGAGAGCGAGAGCGCTGGAGAGGGAGAAGAACTGCCCAGTGGGGTTTGGTCACACCCCAAGCAGTCTCCTGTTTCTCCACCCTGTTGAGATTTTGGGCATGTACACCCACACGGCTCCTGGTGTGTTTTTCATACCACCAGAGCTGGGATTCGAACCATGTAGATGGCTATGTGGGATCTGGCTTCCTTAACTATAAGCCCATGGGGCCCGCCCACTTCTGCCACATTATGTTGGACAAATCTCATCACAGGGCCAAGCCAGATTTAAAGAGGGGTGGGGGGAGCGTCAAAGTCATTGCAAGGGGTTTGGGTCCAGGGTGAGGTGAAGAATGGGGACCCTAGTCCACCACACTGGGTCAGGTAAGCTAGGGGCTCCTTCAGGACATTGGCCTCTGCCTACTGAGACCCTGTGCACCTCCCCAGGAATCGTGTGTGACTTCCGCCTGTCCTATGGCCGCGTCCTCAGCCGCAGCAGCAAGATCATCATCGTCAATCGTAATCGGGATGAGATGCTGCTCAACTCCGACATTTTCTGGAAGCCCCAGGAGGCCGTGCAGGGTGAGCTTCCCAGTGGCCCCCGCCCCCTCACACGTGCTCTTCCTGGTCCCTGTCCTGGCCTCAGCTGCAGCCAGCTTAAACCTTGTGCTAGCGATCAAGGCCTGGGCCCTGCCCTGGGATCCGTGCAGTCAGCCAGAGACACCTGTTCGGCCGTCACACTGATGGGTGCTCCCGTGGGAACAGATGGTGGAGTGGGCACAGAGGGAGGCTTAGAGATGTGACCGCGTTCCTGGCTGCAGACCCTCCCATGCTGCCCTCACCCTCAGGACAGAGAGCTTACCCGAGTTTTACAACCCTTCCAGAGCCCTGTGGCCCTTTGTCCTAAGGATGTTCACTCACTTGCCGCGTGGGTGACAGGGTGGCCTTGTGGTAGAGAAGTGGTACTGTTGCATTTGTAGTTCGGAAGGTCCACTCCAGCAGGAGGTGGGCAGCAGGCTGGAACACAACCAGGGGGCAGCCTGGCTGTGTTCCCTAAATCTTTTTTTTTCCTTTTTAAGATTTTTGCCATAGGGCACATGCACTTGCTGGAGAGACAGAGACAGTGGAGAGGGAAAGTGAAAATTCATACCCTCTCGGGGGGGATGACCACGCTGCAATCCGTTCTCCTCCATTCTCTTCCTGGGATTTTAGGCAGGCATGCACAGGCGACAGGTGTGAGTTCCAAGCCACTGGGTCCAGGACTTTTATCTGTGGTTGTGGTTGGCCATGGGGGAGTCCAGGGCCTTAACTGCCACGCCACCAGCTGGCCCTCAGGATGGCACCTTTTTTTAAATATTTTTCCTTAAGAGAGATTTTTGCTATAGGGTGTGTACGCTCACCAGAGAGACAAGAGACAGAAAGTGAGAAATCACCTCCTGGGGGGGATGGCCACACCGCAACCCCTTCTCCTTCATTCTCCTGTCCGGATTTTGGGCACACACACACACGTGGTGGGACTTGAACCGTGGCCGACTATGTGGAAGTCCAACAATGTAACCATTACGCCATCTGCTGCTCTCAAGGATGGCACTCTTTTCATTGAACGCTTTAAGACACAGAGTTGACAGGACTTTGCGGTCTTGGGTGGGAGAAGAGATGATGTGGCTGGCCAGGGTTTGACACCTGCCCTGTGTTCCCACATCTGTTTCTCTGGCCTTGCCCTCCCTCTGGACCGGGCCGGCCTTACCCGGTTCTGGCTGTGCTTCACCCATTTCCCCGTTGGTGCTCCCCTAACCACCCTTCTCCAGTGCTGCTACTGGTTTCCTGAGGTCTTCAAGGCCTGTGGGGCTGGGCGGGCCGAAGGAAGCCACCTCCCTGCGACTGTGCCCTCTTCTTCCCTAGGAGATGTGGCCTCCTTCGTGCTGAAGCTGGTGGAAGGCCTTCGGGGCCAGACCTGGGCCCCAGACTGGGTGGAGGAGCTGCGGGAAGCCGACCGGCAGAAGGAGCAGACCTTTCGGTGAGGGCTAGATGGAGGGGGCATGGGAGTGGGGTGGGGGCTCCTGCAGGCTCCGCTGACCTCCTCTGCCATCACAGGGAGAAGGCAATGAAGCCCGTGGCCCAGCACCTGAACCCGGTACGGGTGCTGCAGCTGGCGGAGGAAAATTTGCCTGACAACTCCATCCTGGTGGTGGACGGGGGGGCCTG